TTTAAAAAAATAACTTATAAAGTATTTTTAATATAAAATAATATTAATTATAATAAATATGAAACGTGAAGTTTTTGTATTGTTGCCCATGATAGATATATCTTAAGCCTGGAAGATCAATCATTGTACTACGATATCTCTTTTTTTTCTTTTTTTCTTTTTTTGGTAAAATTGTACTACGATATCTGGTTCTACTGAAACATCTCCCTGATTGCACCACCAGCACATTGCCCATTTTCCCCAAAAAAAAAAAAACCAGCAATATCATTATGTCGTTTTCTTAAGCCAAACATATATGCACATTCTTTAATTGGCAAAATATAATAATTTTATTAGAAATAAAACATGATTTTATTCAAATTTAAAGTTGCCATGATTCCATATTAAATTTCGTGTTGGACTTGGCGTTAAAAAAAAAAACAACCAACCTTTCATTGACCATGATGAACTTTGGGCTCCACCCAATATCAGCGGTCCAATGCTCAATGATGGATTAGGCCTAAAAAAGGCTCAATGATGATAAATGGCATCAAGCCCAAAGGCCTCGTAATTTATGACCTACAACCAGTCCAACCCATCAAGGACAAAATGGGAACTTAACCATCATCTCTGTGCGTCGATTAACCCGAACTTGAAAAAAGACGCGATCTTTTTCCGGACTTGTCCATGGTGGAGTGTCAGGCGCCAGGACCAAACTACCGACATTCCGTCAACTTTGTCTATGAATTCACCCAATCGATGAAACTTTTGAGAATCCTGTCGGAGGAATCACTTTCGTTGACCCTATTCCTTTCTCCAACCCGCTCTTGATCTTTGCTCGTCGGATGATCCCGCTTTTTATCTTTTTCCAAGTTCAATCCCACCTTCCAAATCTCAGAAATATAGCTCTCGTTCAGGAATTGGTTAGAGAAGTAGTGACAGCAGAAGAAGGGGGACTCCGTTGCATACCCCTTTCCATGGTAGAATTCCAGCCGCAGTGGCTAAGGAAGCAAGCGACAGAAGGATGACCCAGCGCTGCTCCCACGATCAGCCACTCTATTCTGAAACCGTTCTGGGTATGCCTTGTCTTTTCACTCCGTGATACCTGCTCGTACTACCCATAAAAACGGTCTATTGGATGGTTCAAACCCCAATGCCTTGTCTTGCTCTAGAAAAGGTATAACTCTAAGATGTGGATTGCCCATTCTGCTGCTATTGACTCTGCATTCTAGACTCAAGTTGGATCGTATTTCTTTTGATAGTTGAATTGGGTCTTCTTTACTCTTTTTATTGGATTCTCTTACTTCAGATTCTTGAGAAAATATAGTTCTTGTTTTCTCGGTGATCAACATTGTCTTCGTATTATCACAGTTGTTTTAGTGTTTCTTATACTTGTAAGACTTACTTCCGTTTGATGGGTTTAAAATGAAATGGTCTTGTTTATTACAAATTCTATAGGAATATAATTTTAATTTTTATTGCAGAATTTCAAACATGATTCATGAAGAAAAAGATAGAAAACAGGGCAAAGAAAATGATGCAAAAACCAAACTGCAAACAACTTGTCTATGATTTCACCCATTCAATGAAACTCTTGAGATTTTGTTCAGAGGAACCACCTTCTTTGATGTTGTTCAAGGTCTTCTCCTTCAATTCAAGAGCCCTCGCTTTAAAATTCTCATCACTCAGTAGTTTCTCTACTTTGCTCTTAATCTCTTCTCCTCTAATAATCTCACTCTCATCTTTCTCAAATCTCAATCCCACCTTCCAATTATCACAAATGTAGCTCTCGTTCAGGAATTGGTCAGCAAAGTAGGGCCAGCACAAGAAGGGGACTCCGTTGCTTACGCCTTCCATGGTGGAATTCCAACCGCAATGGCTTATGAAGCAAGCAATGGAAGGATGATTCAGAACTGCTCGTTGTGGTGCCCAACCCACCATCTTTACACGATCAGCCACTCTGTTACGAAACCCTTCTGGGTACGCGTCATCCTTCCCTTCTATGACATTTGGTCTCACAACCCAGAGAAATGGTCTGTTGGAGAGTTCAAGACCCAATGCCAATTCTTGGAATTGGGTAGGATTAAGAACCGTGATGCTGCCAAATGCCACATAAATGGTTGAGCGTGGTGGCTGTTGATCAAGCCATTTCAAACAGGAACTGTCTTCTGGCCAGAAATTAACCTCCAAATTTCCTAGTTTGTCAAGTTTAGAGAGTGGGCCTATGGGGAGGGCCTTAGGAACCGAGGCAAATGCTCCAACCTCCAAGTTATATGTTGAGTTGCAAAGTAGCCACTCAACTTTCTCGATGGCTTTGTTGTACCTCTGCATGAGATCAAATATAATCTTTTGGGTGGTGAAGTCCTCAATGGTCATCCACACAAAATTGGATGGGCTCATGGTAGGTGAATCCAATGACAACTGAATCATCTCGTGTTTAAGTGGAGTACCTACTGATGAAATTGCATAAGTGATTTGAGAAATATTAGAGAATTTTGTAAAGTATTTCATTCTTACCATTTTCATCAATAACTCCATCATCAATCAGCTTGGGGATGTTTAAAATCAAGGCTAGAAGCAAGGTTGCTGGAGGCCATAACGCAGCTGTCTTTATTCCCAACTCTGCAGCAACTTCAACTCCCAATCCCAGCGTCATATCAGCTAGAACACATGTAATCTCATCATCATCTGTTTGCTTAATCTTCTCTATTAGTTGCCTGAGCTCACCAGGCATGAACTTCAAGCATGCTTCAACCAACTTCCCTATATGATTCCTGTCTTCCTCCGCACCCATCCCATCTGGGATTGAAACAAAATGAACTTGCCCTTCAGGTTCTTTGCCCAATGCATTTGTGATTCGTTTGTGGTTGAATTCAGTGTTCACAAATGTGATTTTGATGCCATGTTTGATCAAGATTTGTGAGAGCTCCATGAGAGGAATTGCATGCTCTTGGGCTGGAAAAGGAACAACCAAAATATGTGGATTACCCATCTATTGATGTTGAGCCTGTCTAGAAGACGCAAGCTCATGCTTCATTTTATAGTTGAATTTTAGTATTTTTAATATTTTCTTGTTGATGCCCTCAAACTTTTTCCAAACTAACACGTAAGCCCCCAAACTAAAAAAAGTGCATCTAAGCCCTTATACCACGGAATTGATGCAAATTATCTCTACTAAAAAAACTTTACCTTCTCAAGGGAGCCAGCTCAATCAATCAAAAAATATATCAAGCTTTTTTTAGTTAAAACTTAAAAAGAGCCATTTTAGGCCTAATATGTGCGTCAATTAGGTTTATGGGAGCCTGGCAGTTACAACGGTACATACCTA